AAGCGTTTCCGAGCATTCTAGTTTGTCTTTCCGGCCGTCAGATTTCCATCTGAGTCAGAAGAAAGTTTCTTGTTAGAGAAGGTATACCCTAGTATGCGCGCGCACGTATGTGCAGGACTAGTAATGGTTAGCCGCTCAGAACACTCTAGCCTACTGACACGATTTACCTTACTTCACCTCGGTAAAATCCCGTGGAATTAATAGCTAGTAATCCGTAAGAGTAACCGTGTCACAACTCTACACCCGGGAAGATTTACCGCTGGGTCATTCTAGCGATATGTGCATAGCGTCTGACGGGGTTGTTTCGCTGCCGCGTGATCTGTTTGAGAGATTGAACACACGCACACACACGCCGCCACACACACACACACACACACACACACACCACACACACACCACACACACGCGCGCGCACACGCCACACGCACACACACACACACACACACACACACACACACACCACACACACGCACGCATGTGACGCACGCACGCACGCACGCACACACACACACGCACACGCACACGCGCGCGTTACATTTCGCATACGCACACGACGCATCATCGGCGCCGCGCACTCACACCAACACAACATTACACACACCACGACCCGCACACAGCGCGCGACACGCATACGCACACACGCACTATGCGGCGCCGCACTCACGACACACATATCACACACACGCGCGCACGCAAGAAGGACTACATCGCACCGCTTACAGACCTCCGCGCGACAAGGCGAACTCTCTCTCTCTACTACCGAGTATGTTACCTCCACGTAGCAGGAACTCTCTCTCGTCACTACGGTATAATTTACCTCGCGCGAGCAGGAACTCTCTCTACTACGGTACTGTAGCCTCCGCGCGAGCCAGGAACTCTCTCTAACTACCGGGATGTACATCCGCGCGCAGCAGCGAACTGCTCTCTACTACCGGTATGTACCTCCCGTCGCGAGCAGGAACTCTCTTACTACCGGCTATGTACCTCGCGCGGAAGCAGGAAACTCTCTTTCTACTAGCGCGTATGTACCTCGCGCGCCAGCAGGAACTCTCTACGGACCGGGATGTACCTCACGCGAGGCAGCGAACGCTCTCTCTACCGGCTAGTTACCTCCGCGCCGAAGCAGGAACTCTCTCTACTACGGCTATGTAACCCTCCGCGCGAGCAGAACTCTCTCTCACTACCGGTATGTACCTCCGCGCGAGACCGGAACTCTCCTACTACCGGGGCGTATGTACCTTCGCGCGAGCCGAGAAACTCTCTCTACTTACGGTATGTACCTCCACGCGAGCGAGGAACCTCTCTACTACGGATTACCTCCCGCGCGACGCAGGAACTCTCTCTACTCTTACCGGTATGTACCTCGCGGCGAGCCAGCGAACTCTCGTCTACTACCGGCTAACTCTGTTACCTCTGCGTGAGCAGGAAACTCTCTCCTACTACGGTAGCTTACCTCCGCGCTACAGCAAACTGCTCTCTAACTACCGTAATGTAAACCTCCGCCAGCGAGCTAGAACTCGTCTCTGACTACCGTATGTACCTTCCCGCGCAGAGCAGAACTCTCTCTCTACTACCGCGTATGTACCTCGCGCGAGCAGGAACCTTTCTACTAGCCGGTATTGACCTCCCGCGCGAGCAGAAACTCTCTCTCTACTACCGGATGTTACCTCCGCCGCGAGCAGGAACTCTCTCTACTACCGCGTATTTACCTGCCCCGCGAGCAGGAAACTCTCTCTATTACCGGTATGCTACCTCCGCCGCGAGCAGGAACTCTCTTCGCACTACCGGTATGTACCTCCGCGCGAGCAAGGAACTCTCGCTACTACCGGTATGTACCTCTGCGTGAGCCGGGAACTCATCTCTACTACCGGTATGCCTACCTCGCGCGAGCAGGAACGTCTCTCTACTACCGGTAGTACTCCGCTGCGAGCAGAACTCTCTTCCTACTACCGACTATGGTACCTCCGCGGCGAAGAGGAACTTCTCTCTACTAACCGCTAATGTACCTCGCGCGCAGCAGGGCAACTCTCTCTACTACTGGTATTTACCTCCGCGGCGAGCAGGGAACTCTCTCTACTACCGCCTATGTACCTCCCGCCGCCGAGCAGCCGAACTCTCTCTACTTACCGGTATGTACCGCCGCCGCGAGCAGAACTCTACTCTGACTACCGGGTATGTTACCGCTCCGCGCGAGCAGCATAAACTCTCTCTAACTACCGGTATGTCACCTCCACGCGAGCCAGGAACTCTCTCTACCTACCGGTAGTTGTACTCTCGCAGCGCAGCAAGAACTCTTTTCTACTACCGGTATGTACCTCCTCCCAGACCCCAAGAGAATCACCCCGCCCACTTTCACAGTGATCTCGATTACTGGTTCCTGCGGAAGCAGGGCGGCGAGCAGGACCACTCCTCTCTACTACCGCGCTACTGCCTACCTCTCCGGCACACGAGCCGAGCAGGAACTCCATTCTGACTAACGCTATTACCTCCGCGCGACAGGAACTCTGCTTCTACTTGCACCCGCTAACTGGTTGCTACCTCTCCGCGCGCAGCAGAGGAACTCTCTCTACTACGGTAATGTACCTCACGCGTACAGTCCAAGTCGAAGCCTCTCTCTAACATACCGGAGGATGCTACCTCGCCGCGAGCAGGAAACTCTCTCTACTACCGGCTTATGTACCTCGCGCGAGCAGGAAAACTCGCTCTACTACCGGTAATGTACCTCGCGCCGGGAGCGCAGGAACTCTCTCTACTTTTTCCTTACGGTATGTACCTCACCGGCGAGCAGGAACTCTCTCTACTACCGGTATGTACCTCGCCGGAGCCACGAACTCTCTCTACTACCCGTCATGTACCTGCTCGCGCGAGCAGGAACTCTCTCTACTACCGCGTAGTGTGACCTCCCGCGCGAGCAGGACACTCCTTTCTACTACTACCGGGCTATGTACCTCCGCAGAACGCAGCAGCGGAACCTCTCTCTTCACTTACCGGGCATGTACCTCCACGCGAGCAGGAAACTCTCTCACTACCGCCGTATGTACCTACCGCGCGAGCAGAACTCTCATCTGACTGACCGGTATGTACCTCGCGCGAAGCCAGGAACTCCTCGTCTTACTAACCGCGTACTTTACCTCCGCTGCGCAGCAGGAACTCTCTCTACTACCGGTACTGTACCCCCGCAGCGCAGCAGGGAACGCTCTCTACCTACCGGCATGTACCTCCGCGGAGCAGGAAACTGCGCTCTCTACTACCGGTACTGACCGCCGACCGCAGCCAGGATATCTCTCTCTTATCTATCCGGCATGTAATCTCCGCGCGCAGCAGAACTCTCTCTACTACCGTATGTACCTCCGCGCGCAGCAGAACCTCTCGTCTACTACCGGTATGTTACCTCAACGCGAGAGGAAAACTCTCCTCTAACTACCGGTATGTACTCGCTGCGAGCAGAACTCTCTCTACTACCGGATGTACCTCGCGCGAGCAGCGAAACTCTCTCTAGACTACCGCCGTATGTACCTCAGCGCGAAGCAGGAACCTCTCTCTACTACACGGGTAATGTACCCTCCGCCGAGCCAGAGGAAACTCTCTTTACTACCGATATGCTACCTCCACGCGAGCAGGAACTGCTCTCTACTACCGGTATACCTCCGCCTGCGCAGCCGCGAACTCTCTACTACCGGCTATGTACTCTCCGCCAGCAGGCAACTCTCTCTGCTGATTCCGGGTTGTACCTCCGCCGCCGAGCCAGAAAAACCTCTCTCTGCTACCGGTATGTACCTCTCCGCGCGAGCAAAGGGAACTCTCTCTTACTACCCGGCTACACCGTTGTTTTTTATGTGAATTGTTTTTTGTAGTGCGATTGTTTCCACGAACTTTGTAGGTTCCGGCGTACCATCTGCCAAGCAAGCGGTCCACAAGATTATTGGATATCAAAAGGTGCTGCCCTCTTGTGTCAGCTGAATGAATAAAATGAAACTATGGACATACACAGGGTTGTAGAGACAATCTCGGGAATGAGTCAGTTTTCATTCATAGTAAACAGTAACAGTGCCAAAAATGTGAATTTTATCAGCCAATGTGTCTGCTGGATATATATACAGGCCTACGTAATGTTTCATAACAACAAGATACTTTTTATCGGAACATGTTGTGCAAGCCAACATCTTATACAGACTGGTACCATCCATTTGTTTTAACTATATAATATACCCCCTAGTGTACGTGTTACTATATGGAGTAATCTAGAAAAGGCTCAACCATATAACTGTAGGTGCTGTCACACTAGTTCATATCAATATTTGTCAGTAATATCGACCATAATTTTACTCATTGTCCCGTAACTTTTATATTTTTATACAATAACGATATAATATTTTCATACAATGGTTATCAGTTTTTAGATTATCTATGTCGTTTATTTCTTAATTCATACGATTTGCTATATAATATTAGACGTAATTTCATCGTTTGGTGTCACTGATGTAAAATTAAAGTAAGTAAAGCACGAATCAAGTCAGAATATTATTCAAAACTAATTTCACCAAAAGGTAAAGTTTGATTTGTGGCACCCACAACTGTTTTTGCAGTACGTATTTTGTAAACGTGGATTATGTATGATAACGAAACCAGGCAACCGAGCAACCGCTATTGAGTTACCCAGCGTTGTAATTGCTGAGTTTTGCTATTGAATTTAAGGTAATAGCAAATTCATTTGTTTATTGTAAGTTGAAACGTTTTCAGTTATCTTGCCTTTTTGATACCCGCTGACTTTTACGCTGTTAGAGTATACATAAATAAAACGTATATGACACACGCTCACACATACACACACGCGCGCACGCACGCACGCACATACACACATCACGCACCCACGCACGCACGCACGCACGCACGCACACACACATACACCACACACAGTGAAATTTGATGGCCTTAATAGTTTATTTCAAATCGATTCACACATGGACGCCAAAGTGTGACTCGGCGTGCCAATAACCTACCACTCCTTCATATGGATAAGAATCCTCTGTGTCTATCCCTCCTGCATCGGTTACATACTGAAACGCAGAATCCATGAGGCCTCCATTGCAACCAAGGTTCCCTGTACGAAAGAAAACAGCAGTTACGTGCAAATAGATGGCGTAACTGACCGCGTAAATTATTACGAATAAATTAAATATCTTAATTAGCAACATATGGTTTAGCAGCGCGGCAGCACTTTGTGGAAAGCTGTTAGTCAGGTGTCAGTGCGTCGTTAATGTAATGCTAGGTCGCCGCCGGCGGCGGCTGCTGCTCTGTCAACCATTCTACACGTCCCGATCGCCACCTGCTCATCACCGTAAAAAGATCAGTCACACTGAGATCTGCTATGATTCGCTGAGATCTCTGACCAAGCACATCCCACACAACGCGTCCTATAGTTCTGCGTTTAAACGTGCATGAAACGTGTGTGTGTGCGTGTGTGTACACAGCACTGTTTATACACGATGAGAAACGTAATTACTTGTTCAACGTCACCGTGCGTGCGTACGCTTATGCACGCACGCACGCACGCACGCGCGCACGCACGCACGCACGCACGCACGCACGCGCGCACGCACGCAAGCAAGCACGTACGCACGCACGTACGCACGCACGCAAGCACACATACCCTCCGCCTGGGAGCAATCAACGAGGTTCTGTTCACTTAGAGACACGAGCTTTCTTGTTGCTCTGAAATGCTGACCCTCCATGGCACCCGTAGCAGAAAATGCCCAGCATGAGCCACAACTTTTCTAAAGTTCAGAAATAAACCAAAAATTATATCTGAAACGCTGTTTATATATAGCTGGTAATACATTAGTCAGATTCAGACTCAATATCACGCTAGCTAGACCGTGTACGTACAGCTGCCTGCAAGAAAAATAATCTAATACTAAATGAATAATAAACAAGAGACTATTAAATCTAATACTGCGATGGAATGGAATTACAAGCTATAAGACGATAGCTTGAGTTTCTTCACACGAAAAAAACATATCGAAGTTGATATATTGACGTGATAAATGAGCACATACGGCGTGTTTAAAATAAGAAACTTTATTTAGGTTACGTATCATATTTAAGGTTAAAAACTTGAAGCGTTGAACATGAAATGCGAATTTAACTCAATCTATTGGATCGATTGTGTGATTTGTTGCTAAAGGCCTATTGAATTGCCAAATGCATGCATATTGAGAATGCATGGCGGCGAATAAGTGGAATTGACTTCCAACTATACCTGATCCTTGATGTCAGTAACATAGCCCTTGTCCCTCCAGTCTACGGTGGGTGGAAGATTAACCGAGGAAGGTTCCAGAAAACGTAGTCCTTTTCGCTTATTCTGACCAGCTTTGTAACCGTTCAGCTTGTAGACAAACTCTTCTGCTGTCTGCCCGTATTATTAGCAAAATATTAGCACACTAGCGCGAGAAAAATCGGCGTTTAAAACAAGCGTCAGCTTAGCAACGGACGCGTCATTGCCGTATAAATGTTTTCTACGAGTTATCGTCACGGTAGTAGATCGGTATTATAACAACCTAATCATATAGACTTGATAAAGGCGCGTTTGGTGTCGCTTTTCTTGAAATATACTCAGAGTATATCGTAATTAAAGTGCAACGACTATATATGTATATATATATATAGGGCATGAGGATTCGGCAGCAATACACCCGGAAAACCCCCAAGATCAGGTTACCTTAGACTGCACACGTAAACCTATGTAGCAGAAATCTATCGCAGAAAAAGTGTTTCCAAATGGGAAAGCCAATAGCCAAGCCTGAATCGATTTCCCATCAGTCAAATAAAGTGCGGTCAACTAACTGCTCAATATGTCAGTATGGCCTGTCGGTCTTACCAGGTCAGCGAGATGGTTCATGCCCAGCCTGTAGGAGTGCTTGCCGAGGCTGTGCGCTAGGTTATGACGCATCACTTTCTTCATGTTGGCTTCCCACACGATCCTGCGTACCGCCTCCTCTGACTCCCCTTCATACTCCTACATGTGTAACATTACGCTCAGGATGGCACATTTCTACGCTAGACCTGTCAGCAAATCTGTACCTTCCTCGTGCTGTATTTGTGCGTGTAATCTAGTGAACCATGTAGCGGCGTTGTTTAGGTTTAGGTTTGATTGGTTAAGCAAAACCTCGAGCACAGTATTGATAACATAATATATTTAAAGTTAAAGTCTCTACATTTAAATTTGTTAAATTTTTTGCAGCGAAAGATTTCACGAAATCATTGTTAACTGATTTGAAGATGTAATGTAGAAAACACGCCATATAAATGCCATTATTTTATATACCCTCAATATATTATCATCAATAAATGGTTATCAATAAATGAATTAAAACACGTACGTTTTTTAATAATTCCTCTATTATTATGCAGGAGAGGTACTATAAACAAGAGTAAATAATCATAAATTATTTACAATTTGTGATTTTTTACTACTGATATATACAATGTTGCGTGATTGCGTGCCTACCTTGTTGTAAGCAGCCTTCCACTCCTTCCACTCGGAATCGAATTCGCTGTTGATCGGCGAACCGACCATGAACACCACTACACAACACAGAACTACGGCGCGCAGCAGCATCTGGAAACAAGCGAGAAATACGGACATGACGTGTTTATTCTTCCCTTCCACTGAAGCGCTGAAGGTGATTTTGATGTTCTTCGTCGGCGTTCTTTTCTTACACACATTCACTTGTCCCGTTGTTAGGAAATTGTAATATTAAATCATGCACAATGTAAAAATTGCTCTGACAAAGTACTACTGCCAACTACTGCAAAGCAACTATTTGAGATGTTCTACTAAATATTTCCTATATGTACTACTAAAATACTGCACTAGCAGATGAAAAAACCGTGTGCAAATTAAGACAATTTACACGGAATATGAATTAAAATAGCAGCCGCAGCTATAGTACATCAGTAGCCAAAAGAGGACATAATTGTAAATCCTTCCTCAAGCAAAACGCGAGCAAGTCCTACTTACAATGACGTTATCAGAAGGAAACTCTTACCTTGGGTAACTCGTTTCACTGGACGACTTCGAATCTGCGACACGTTCTAGAAGCGATGGAAGGAATGGAGTGGGATCTTCACCCAGCCCTGCCCGCACTTTATACTTGTGTCTCAGACACCACGCGGTGTCACATGTGACTTGACGTGCTCTCCAAAGAAAGAATGATTAACAACTCTTCAGATAACGTTCTTATTGTGAGGACAAAGATCATTCTCGTCTGCAGGTACCTCGATGACACGCCATGGGGTGCATTTCTTTACACGAATCCAGGTGATGATCTCTTATTGCGTGTTAACGAACTGGTCGAATTGTGCTCCATTTTCGTTGTGAAATCAGAAATACGTTATTGTACATACTTAATTGTTGGAAAATTGCATTTAGAAACGTGTGCAATCTCTGTTAGGCGCTCATTCGTGATGGGTCTGAGTAGGCAACTTGGTGTTATTGGGGTCATATATTCACATGATATAGTATTTATTGCAGGTTTTAAACTTCCTATCACATTCAGCAAACACACAGAACACACGGACAATCATCCAGAGATATAGGCCTGATAGATACATTACATTTGATGAAAACTAGCTTAGAATATTGTCTGTATGGTCTATGCATATAACACACTTCCGTAAAATAATTTTATTCCAATATTAAATAATCTTTGTGAGTTTCCCCAACACTTTTACAGGGTTCATAATTATGGTCGATATTCACAGTAAATAATCCATAATAACTATACGTCAATCGCGTCGTTTGTGCATATACCATGGAATACGCTAACTTAGTAGAGCATTGGAGAAACAATATTATACACTAAGGTCCATGTCGTTTGCGGCTTTAGAAAGCTCCAAGACCTGCCTTCAGGCATGAGTACAGTTTAGAAAAATCCTCCGGAATTTGGTATTGTTAAGGAAAAACTTTATACCCAAAATTTTAGGCAAGCCACTGAACACTGCATTTCGGAGTGTACGCACGAGTTCATGAAATACATAACGCTTCGGTCTGTACCTCCGTACACCCCCGATTTTGATCAGATAAATGCTTGCTGTCGTTAATATACATTGTTATTGCTCCTTTCCTACGTCAATATTGTCTCTGCCGAACGTAATTAAACAAACGCCCAAGGTTTCCGAGCATTCCAGTTTTCTTCCGTTCGTCAGATTTCCATCTGAAGTCAGAAGGGAGTTTCTTGTTAGAGAAGGTATACCCTAGGCATGGGCGCACGTATGTGCAGAACTGTATGGTAGTTCTAGAACACTCTAGCCTACTGACACGATTTACCTAGCTTCCCTCGGTAAAATCCCGTGGAATTTAATAGTAATCCGTAAGAGTAACTTACAACTCTACACCCGGGAAGGATACGCTTGGGTCATTCTAGGATATGTGCATAGCGTCTGACGGGGTTTTTTCTCCGCGTGATCTGTTAGAGATGAACACACGCACACACACGCGCACACACACACACACACACACACACACACACACACACACGCGACACACGCACACGACACACACACACACACACACACACACACACACACACACGACACACACACACAC